AAATTGCGGTGCATCTCTAGTTTCTCTCCTCCCCGCTGTGCACTGCTCTGTGTCCCCTCGACACACAGCAGCGTCCAGTGGGAAGGAGAGAAACTGTCAGAGGAGGCTGAGCGGTGCGGGGGAGGAGAGTACTCTGAGCTGCGATGTCACAGGAGGCCCGGCCAGCGGTGAGGGGGAGGAGTCAGCTGTCAAAATAAACAGAACTCTCCTCCCCGCACCCCTGGCTCAGCATCATGTGGCAGCCAATCCAGGATGGAGAGCAGTACAAGCAGTTACTGTTTGTAAATAACTGGACATTGTATGAGTTACTATGTACCAGTTTTGAATGAATAGGAAGTGATCTAAATCACTTCCTGTTCATTTATAATTGTGTACATGGTAATTCACACTATATCCACAGGTTATGAATGAACAGGAACACTCAGTATAGAGGATTCCTATTCATTCATAAACAGGGATTGCAGAAAAAGAGATTGAAGACTCTGTGTCCTCAATCTCTTTTTCTATTTTAAAAGGGAAATATCAGGGGTCTGTTTAGACCCGTGATATTTCACCGAAGCCCCCAGCAGTAAAGTTAAAAAATAAAAATATTTAACAAAAAGAAATAAAAATAAAATATATATATTTTTTAAAGTTTATAAAAAAAGAAATAAAAATAAAATATTTTTACAAAATGTAAAAATGTTGGGGAAAAAAATATTTTCGGTTTTGGCCTGACATTTTATTTATGTTTGGTTTCGGTTTAAAATTTTCAAAATTGTTAGCGCATTAAAAAGTAACGGGGAGGAAAATATTGTTTTAACACCACTATGTGATTATTCAATTAACAGTAAACAGGATTGGGAATAAAAGGAAATGACAAATGCACAAGTAATTGTAAATGTCAGGTTTCATTATTCTCCGTTTATACAACACAACAAACCTACACTACTTAAATAAAACATGTCAGGAAAGGAATGTGAGCACTGCTATGGCCCCTTTTTTTAAAGCGCATGTTAAGCCAAAACAATTTTTTTAGACACAGCAAGAGAGTATTAAAATCCCTGGCAGGTCTCTATTGCTGTCCGTGTCCCATTGGGGACTTTTTCCTTAATTTCCTATCCAGGAGAAACAAAAGGAAAAATGCTGCAAAGTTACAATGTTGCAGTCTCCTCACTTGTGGAAAAGAAGAAATGCTTCCTCCTGCCTGACGAACAAGGACATAATCTCAGCCTAGGCAAAGTCACTTGACTGGAATTCAAGGACGGCTTTTTATTGATAGAAGGTACAGCAATTTTTGAAAATTTGCAGTACAGTGGTACCTCGGTTCACAAACTTAATTCGTTCCACAATTCTGGTCGGGAAACGAATTGGTCGCAAACCGAATCAAACTGTGATCAGACCGCGATCTCGACTTGAGGAAGCCATGACCATGTGTCAAAGCAGGAAAGATGGCCGCGGTTGTGTTCGTCACCCGATGCGGAGTTTGCAAACGAAAGCAAAATTTTGCCGAACTTCCTGTTCGCAAACCGAATTGTTTGTGAACAGAAGCGTTCGTGAACCAAGGTGCCAGTGTATATGCTCAGGAATTTGTTCATGCAGACCTGAAAAATGACTTAAATGGTCCACAGGTTCTTTAAAGGAGAACTATGGGGTCAGGAGTTTTCCCCATAGTTCTCCTTAGGGTAAAGGGAGGACACAAACTAGCGTCCTCCCGTCACCCTAAGCTCAGTATACCGCGAGCTACAGCTCGCGGTATACTGACACGCCGCAGCCGGAGCGGATCCCGACATCGATGTCGAGATCCGCCCAGCTGCGTGAGTGACAGCTGGCTCTGCCTATCTAGAGGCAGAGCCAGCTGTACCCGCCACCTCTCCCGTCCGTTCTGCCAGTCAGCGCTGGCGGATCGGAGCGGGGAGGGGGATCGAGACAGGATCGAGAGGTGAGCGAACCCGGTATGTGTTCGTTCATCTCCCGATCTACTGAGCCGACCTGTGACAGTCTCATTGTCACAGGTCGGCTAGAACTATGAGGTGAGTGAAAAGCACTCACCTCATAGTTCTCCTTTAAAGACTAAGATTACACTTATTACTATGTTTTATGTTACATTCATATTCAGGGTGTAACATTAAACATGGTCACACCCCCATCTGGCCCCCCTACTTATCTGAATCATGGGGTTCTTCTCTCTGCAGGCTCCTGGCGTTTTTTTTTAACTCAGCGTGGCTGTGCGTGGCTCCAGCCACTTCATCCATTCACAGATACTTTGAAAGGAAGATTCTGCAGGAGCCAGAGCATTGCATCCGCCAGCCACTGATCCCTGTTGCAATGCTTTACTGGCTCCAATACAAAAAAAAAAAAAGAAATGCACATTTTCTTCTTTTATATATGTGTGTGCATTTGTTAGTAAAAGGTGGACTATGCCTTTAACACGCTAGATAAATATTACATGTGTGTAATGTAGATCCAGCACCCAGACTGCATTTGCCATGCATCCTATTGCTTACCATGGGGGAACAAAAGGTGCTGGTGTGTGCAATGCAACGTCTCAGCCACAGGCACTGTAGTCAAGCTTTATGGTAAAACAGTGCAGTGTATTGCAGATTCCTCATCTGTATTAAGACACCAGTGCTGGGGAGTACTTGGAGCCTGCCTGGAATGTGCTCTAAGTACCATTTTTGATGCTCAATAAATTCCCTAAAAAAGCTACAATAACTGAATCCACACATGAAAGTAATAGTTACTGCAATGCTTTTTTGTATTGCTGACTTAGAATAGGATAAGGTCCATGCACCTACTGAGAGGCTGCACTTCCTGCAGGATGAAATATGGACGGGGGATCAGTCACTTAAAGTAGAAACCCAACTTTTAAAATCAAAAATTATATATAGAGCTGGACAGAAGTCAATCACTCAATCAACTTTAGTCAAAGGATCCGGGCTGAAAATGATTTGAACCCATTCAGCTGCAGTCACGGTTTAGTATACTGACATCGGCAGGTGCCAGTTGTCAGAATACAATAACCGCAACAGAAATTTGGGCCATGCACGCTGTTTGGCGTGGATGAAAGAATATGTTAGATTTTTTGTTAGAAGTCTATTGGTGTTTGGTCAGCTTTGCCATTTCCAACCAACAGATATCCACAAATATTTGTAAGCTATTCAAGTATCTGATCAGTACATGCAAGTGGTTCTTGTATATGATTAGATCAGACCACCTACAAAGTAAAGAACAAAGGCGACTCAATCTGTCCATGGGGCAAAAGGATTTATGAAGTTCCTTTATATATTGAGAGACTGATTAAATTATTTTTTGCTGATTAATAAATCCCATTCAAAGCAGAAGTTTAATCTGCTTATGATGTATCCCCCCCATCAACATTCAACATGCTAATGCCATTTTTAAATAAAAGCTTTCTGTTTTCATTGCATGCCTATTGTAGACACAGTGACACCGTTACATCTCTGTGTTTCTCTATACAATGCAGAATATCCTGGCTAATTGGAGGGGCTATGGCTTCCTGAGAACAGCAGACTGCCCTAGTTAACGCCCAACATGTGATGCTGAGCCTCCATGACTGAGAGAAATGAAATCCAATGAATGAAAGGGGCAGGCCAGGCATAGTCTACCTGGATGATGCGTGATGTCCTCAGCCAGGAAATGAGGTGCGTTCTATCTGACTTGTTGAAGCTTCCAATGCACATTGTGAGAAGCTTACAGTGTGCAATGAAATCAGAGCAAGCTATTTCATTACAGAACAGAAGAGTGTGGACAACAGTGCAAGACTTACAGTGGCTTAGTGGTTGGCACTGCTGCCTTACAGCACTGGGGGTCCCCGGTTTGCATCCCATCCAGGGCCCTATCTGCAGGAAGTTTACATGTGCTCCCTGTGCTTGCGTGGATTTCCTCCAATACTCCAAAGACATGCTGGTAGGTTAAACAAAAGAAAGATTCGGGCCGTCTGCTGGTTCTAGGCGGTCCAAGGGTTACTTTAAAGATCGGGACAGACCATAAATGTGGTTTTAATGAAAAAGCATTTATTTAAATTTCAAATATAACAAACGTGGCCAATCTCTATTTATCGACCAATAAAAACAAAGTGAAAAAATGATTGAACTGACTGTTGCTTTCGTAGCCTTTGTTGGGACTATTTAAACCCTTGTATATTGTGTGACCTTCACCCCCTCTTTTTTCATGCTGGTAGGTTAGTTGGCATCCTGTCTAAATCAGCCCTAGCATGCATGTACAGTAGGGACCTTAGATTGTAAGCTCCTGATGAGCACTGATGTGAATGTATAGTATGTATGTAGCACTACATAAGTTATTGGTGCCGTATAAATACCTGAGGTAAGGCTTCAGTTCAGCCTGAAATTACACTAGAAACACAATATAAACATTGGTAATCATGGAAAGCATGACATCTATTTAAAATGCTAGCTGGTGAAAGTTTATCAAAGTAACATATTAAAACCATATTAATGATGATGTCATTTCAATACAACAATATGCATACTATAACAAACATAAAAAAGCCAAACTAAAAGGTTCATTTATTAATATCTCTACACAATCAATGATCAATTATTGACGACCGCAGGTATAAAAGAGTATCAGCACAATAGTACATACAAGAAATGTGATCTATTGTACCTGACGATGATTACACACAATCTTCTTTTATTATAGTATTACAATGAGTAGTGGGGATTAGTTAAATTTTATCTTTTATTTAAGAAATAATCTGGTCACCTCAGTGGGTACGAGAAAACTTGACTGCGCTTTGAGTTAGCGCCTTTCACAAAGTGGATAAGTCCACGTTATAATAAGAAAGTATTTATAGCAGGAAACACACTGCTAAGAATGAAAGTGCCCGAGGGAGGGCTGACTACAAGAACAGAGGCACGCAGCTATCAGACGGTGCTCGGTGCATTATAGGAAGTCATACATTCACTAAATAGAAAGAAAAAGGCTGTTAGTTGTCCCAAACAACGTTTAAAGCCGTATATACACAAATGTATTACCTGCTCAGAACTTCTCCATGGATATGTACATTAAAGAGGTCCTGTCTAGATGAGGACTGGCAGCTCACCCACCCCAGGTGTGATCGGACAGATCTCTGGGCGACACTATCACTCCTTGCTCCTCATGGCAGCCTAGGCACTGAGCCTGAAATGCTTTCTCTAGTCTTTATCTAAGGGGATGTGTCTGGTCTGTAGGGGTGGAGATGCTCCATCGCCTCCTCCCTCTTCAAACAAAGACTCTTCAAGTCCCTAAGTAGAAAAAGCCACCTAGTGATGAATGGCCATGCTGCACACTGACATGAGACATTCAGAGCTTGAATAGAGCATTGCAGAACGTTCTTCCATAGAACTAAATGATCCAGGACGACTACGTTATACTAAAGTCCTGATAACGACAGATACACACATAGATCATTTCCTATCAAATATAACTTCTCTGGATCTCACCCTGAGCACATGAGAAGATGGTCATCATATATGTAACATGTGTCACTGACGGTATATGTCTGTGACTGGAAAGCTTTTGCTGTTGCCAGCTCTTTAGTCTTAAACCTATGCTGATTGTGTGCAGGGAAATCCCTTAATGTTTTTGTATTCCCTACCGGTATTTGAAACTGGAATTTAAAAAAATGTACCAAAAAAATATGTGGGTTGTAATTTAAGCATAACTATTTATTTCAAGCATTTACAGTACCAACAATTTACACAGTCCCTGTCCTAAGGCCCCTACCTCACATGCATACATACACACACACTAGGGCCAATTTGAACGGGAGCCATAAAACCTACCAATATGTCTTTGGAGTGTGTAAGGAAACCCACTGTAAGAGACTTACCTGCAAACTGATTCCTTCTCAAAGACGTGCGCGCACACGAGCATGCAATCCTGTTAAAAGTTCCAGGCAAACACGCTTTGGCACATGTATTGGAACGTTTATGCGCAATAGCGCACACACGTGAGCTTACGGGCACACACTCATTAGCGTATGCTCATTAGCGCGCACACTTCCCTATACAAACTGACAGAGGCAATGGTCAAGTTGCTGAGGGGTCGTCAGCTTGTTCGTGCGTTCTGCATTCTGTTTCTGTACTCCTGATCTCCTGTGTTTGAACTCGGCTTTTGACCATTGACTTCGCTTCCTCCTTCTGATTTGGTACCACGACTCTCTGCTCTCCCGTGTATGACCCTGGCTTATGACTCCTGACCCTGCTCCTTATCTGTGATTCGGCACTTCAAAATTATGCTTCTCATGTATGACCTTGGCTTGAACCTGACTTCGCTCCTTGGTGCATCGCTCCTGCAGCACTCTGAGCCACTTCATCCAGCCAGTGCTTCACTGGTTCCACACCTGTTGCCTGATCTGGTTGCAAGAGGTCTCTGTGTCATCCTGCAGACTCACCAGCTGGTCCAACACACACAAGCACCTTTATGAAAAACCGGACAGCCACCAGTATCGGCTCCTGTGCCTCTCTCCCTCCTTACATACCCTGTCACCACCTCCAGAGATGTGGGACAAGAGGTGCATGGGTAGCCCCCTTCTCAGTCTCCATTCAGTTACTTGATACCCTTACAAGTACAAGGAGAACACGTACTCCATGCAGATAGTGTCCTGATAAGAACCGGGGAACTGAGTACTGCAAGGCGGTACTAAGCCACTGTGTTTAGTGGCACAGTGGCAAAACATTTTTTTTTTAGATTTGGATAGAGTGGTTAGAACCACTGTCAGGTCTTTATTCCTCTATCCACAACTGCCATCGTTATGAGATGAGAAAGAGCGGCACCTTCCAGTACTGTGTTTAGGCAATGGGCACACCCTTGCGGACCATTAAGAATTTTTATGCCAAAGATGATTGGTAAAACCCAGAATTGTTGTTTTTTTCCACCATTACTGTTCCTTTATACTGGCATATGAAATAGATTCTGAAATAGAAAACAATATTTAGGAGATCACATAAAGGTTTTACTGCAACATGTTACTCAGGTGTTTGGTAGTTACATAGTACACTTTTATAGATATCTGTACATCAGACCAAAAAAGATGGACAACTAAGGAGGAAAGAGGGACAGAGGAATTCACTTCCAAAAAAGGGACAGTCCCTCTAAATGAGGGACAGTTGGGAGGTATTCTGACTCCAACTATTGTATTAGGGATTTATCCCTTGCTGAGACCTCTGTGCCTGGCCTGTTTAAGCAGATACAATACACCGGGGACAGTATTTATCAGATAGCTGAACTCTCCAAATACCTTTTTAATCTACAAAGAACTTTATTTAATGCAGCGGGTTACCCAAGACAACAGGATGTATCAGATTATTGAAAATATGGTATTTGCAGGTCAAAACATAGTAATGTTTCCCCCCCATGTGAGCATACTATCATGTGGCCATGAGACAAGCAGCCATTTTGATGCCATAAGACAATGTGCGGATGAAGGGAAGTACATTATACACGGGGAGGGAACACGGTAAAAGTGCAATAACCAAAATGGCCACAAGATGGCAGTATATTAACCAGCTATACTGGTAAAATGCTGGTAATGCTTAAGGAAATTAACTATATAAATTCTCACCTCACATTAAAGCGATATTAAACCTTCCTTTTTAAAAAAAAAATATTTGCTATAAGGATGCCCACCTTTGCCTGAGACTGTTGTTTTCTTTTAAATCTGTAAATTCTTTGTTTTCAAGTGGTTCCCGTAGCGCTATTCTCCCCCCCCCCACCCCCTACACGGTGCCTCC